AGAGAGGGCCAAAACACCAAGTGTGGGCACGAGCTTTATTAAAAGCAAGGGAAAGCTGCCAGGCTAAACCCAAAATTGGCAGCACCCATGGCATGGCAAAGGGGATTTCTATGGCCTGCAAGCCGGCAGAGATGCATCCAGTGTGAGGGGCTGTGCAGGAGGGAAGTGCTGGGGAACTGCTAAGAGTTCCCAGGAGGGGGTTGTACTGGAGAACTGCTAAAATGGCCAGAGGGGGAGGGCTGGGTACCTGCCCAGATGGAAAGTTCCCTGGGAGCGGGTAGTGCTGGGAGGCCGGGGAATTTAAGGCGGTGATGTTGCCAAGGTTTTACAATGAAACTCAACAACTGGAAGTACTTGGCAGGGCAGCAGTAATCTTGCTGTGTTTTATATAACATGCATCCTTGGGCAGGTTGCCCTTAAATCTTACACTGTGGTGAAGGGATTTTTTTTTGTAATGCTGCAGTAGGGTTGGTGTACTTAGTTCTGTTCTTGTCTAGTACGTCTAATAAATGTATCATATTATTTCCAAATGGGGGAAATAAGGCAGTACTTTCCTTTTTATACTTCTGTGCTTAAAATTCTCTTTCCTAGTCAAAAAATGCCCAACTCTGTGTCTGCTTTCTGCTTGTTAAGGTTTTTCTCCCTGACTTTTCTTGGGCTAAAGACAGGCCTTTTCCACGAGTACATCACTGCTATCATCATTAACAGCATAATTATGCAAGCATATTTAATGCTGACTTTAATTTAATATGTAATACATATGGTAATCGTAGGGTAATACCCATAACAACTGTAGTTTCTTACTTGGCCATGATAATGCTTATTTAAGTTCCACTCTGGCAAAATCTTGTCATATCAAAAGACTTTGGAAAGGGGGGTTCCCTTTGGTGTTTGGTCTTCTACTTAGAAAATACCTATTGCTGTTAGAGTTTATCTTGTGGTATTCATCTTTGTATTTTGAAGATAATAAGATTTGAATTAAATTGATATACACAGAGGGGAACCCTTTTTTTTGATTCAATGTCAATTATACATGAGATAATCCACAGTTACTCATTGTGGAATTGTTGAGACTATGAAAGACTCATTGTCTTTGTGTGCAGCTCTTCCTTAAATAGTGTGACAATACCCCCACCTCTGCTTGCTTGCTTTCCCTTCCCTCCAATGACAAAGAAAATGAGAAATTTCCTGTTGTGCATTCAATTCTTATTTTAAATAAGACTAAGTATAGGCATTGTACCTGACATTGCTACGTTTCTACCAATGTTTCAGCTTAAAGTGCTAGTGTTTAAAAACATTTTCAAGGGATAAGACCTTCTGTACTTTGCCTATTTGAAGAATCAGTGGTAGGAGCAGTGAAGTAAATTCTATGGAGGACATTTCTAAAATAACACATTTCTGAAAGCATAAATGAGTTTATTCAGGTTCTAACCCTTTGCTGTACACAAGCAGACAGAAATGCTTCTGTTACGTAAATGAGAAAAAGCTATTATGCTGATGGAGCATGCTTTTTAAATCCTTTAAAAACACTCACCACATAAACTTGCATTTGAGCTAGTGTGTTCTTTTCGTTAATGTGTGTTCTCCTTTCTCAGAATTGCCAGTGTGTACCTGGCTTAACTCAACAACAGTTTTTTCTGGATTCCTTATTTGATTTATTTAACCTAATTATGTTCTGATATTGCAAAAATTACCGTAAGTGGGTAAAAGTAAAATTCCTCTTCTGAAAAAAAGAAAGAAAGAAAGAAAGAAAGAAAGAAAGAAAGAAAGAAAGAA